AGCGCTGGGCTGAATGGTGCCCTCTCCATTCCCACAGGCTGGGGCAGCAACCACGACATTCGTGTGGTGGAGACCAACTATGACGAGTACGCCCTGGTGGCCACCCAGATCTCCAAGGGCACCGGCTCCTCCAACATGGTGCTGCTCTACAGTACGTCCCCACGCCGCTGCTGAGAGCCCTGGGCTTTCCTCAGAGGGGATCTGTCCTGCAGGGCGGGTGATGGGACGGCACTCCCGCGCCGGGTCCCCTCCCCTGGCTCCCTGGGGCTGCCCTCACCCTGCTCTCACCGCAGGCCGCACCAAGGAGCTTGCACCCCAGCGCCTGGAAAGGTTCATGCAGTTCTCCCGGGAGCAGGGCCTGAAGAACGAGGAGATCCTCATCCTGCCAAAGACAGGTAAGGGTGGGCAGCTCACAGTGGCTCCTGGCCACGCTCAGCCCATAGGGATGGAGGGAGGAGGTGGAGGTGCTTGGAGAGTTGTACCAGATCCTGGGGCAGCAGTGCCCCTAACCACCAGAAGATGATCTCTGCTTTTCTTCTTTCTGCAGACAAGTGCATGGCAGACGCTGCCTAGGTGAGTCCCACCCCCAATGGCGGCTGGGGCTTCCCAGCATTGCCTCCACCCTGCAGAGCCCTGGTGCCGTCAGCCTTTGGAGCTGCTCAGCTCTCACTGGGGCACCACTCATCTCCCTTTGGGGTGGCCCTGCATGGGGGGTGTGGGGCTGGCAGAGGTACTGCCACCCCACGCCAACCCCCACCAGCTCAGCAGTGCTCATTTCTCCTCTCTCCCATGCAGGCTGCTGCTGGATAGAGCTCCAAGAGTGCCATGAGCCGACAGCCGCTCCATCCTGACCCCAGTGCCATAATCTACCTTTGCTTCCTGGCTTTGCACCCCGCATATCTGCCCCTGTCCTTATTAAAGCCCATAAAAACCACTGTTCCCCTGCTTGTGTCTGTTGGGTTGTTGTGGAGTGGGGCCCAGTGGGCATTCCTGGGGTCCTGCTCAGTTGAGGTTGGAAGGCACTGCAGTGCAGGGAAGGTGATGGTCTGTACCCTGTATGCACAGACACGGTGCTGCCTGGTCACGAAACCTGCCTCATCTGGGACGAAGGGGTCCCAGGGCTGAGAAGGGCTGAGACCAGCTATGGGGATCAGATCCCGTCTGCCACATTGGCCACACCAGCCTCCCTGCCTCAATTTCCCCTCTGGAGAATAGGCTGGCTGTGTGGGCATGTGGTAATGAGTGATCACAGAGGGGATCTCCAAAACCACAGCAAGAGGATGGACACAAACCAGTCCCAGCTGCCCCAGTTCTCCCCGGGCCGTGCCCCAGTCCTGCCCTGGAGCTGGGTCTGCACCCACTGGCAGCAGGCTGCAAACTGACCCCAGACTTAAGCCCCATCCCACTGCTCTCCCCGTCCTGACACAGCCGGATCCTGGGAGGGAAGCCAGGGGACACCTCTACACCCACGGCCCCTTCTCTGGACCCACTTTAGCACAGATGGTGCCAGTCCCCAACATGCTCTGTGCTGGGTCTGACACAATGCCACATTCATTTGGGACAGAGCAATTAGACTGGGAAGGGGCCAAAGTTGTCACCTAACACGGGGACAACTTATCACTGCTCTTGTGTAACCTGTTGCATAAAGTGGGGCGGGTGGGGGGTGCTGCCAGCAGTGGGGGCTATAAAGGTAGGTGCAGGAAAAGGCAGCACCACGCAGCCTCTCCTGCAGCATCCAGACAGCATCCAGACCCCAAAGCGAGGATGACAGCGGTGCTGCCGAGCCTGGTGCTGACCCTGCTCTGCCTGCTGCGGGCAGGGGCTGAGGTCCCTGTGCAGCTGGACTTCAACACCAAGAAGGTAATGGCATAGGGTTCCAGCCTGCCTGGGCTGGGCAGGGTTGCAGAGCTGCATCCCCAGGCACCCCCTGATCTCAGCTCTGAGTCTTCTCCAGAGCCTCTGCTGTGAGGCTGTGGGTACTGACGCACAACCAGACCAGTGCTGGACTGCTGTGCTGTGGGAATACAACACCCTGGGGCTATGGTGGCCCAGGGAACACGGAACTGCCCCAGGGAACGTGGGCAGAATGCCATGCTCACCCCTGCGGCACAAGGCAGGAGCGCTCTGTGTGCAGGGAGGTGGCAGGTCCCCATGCTAGGTTTGGCTGGTCCCTACAGCAGGAGGCACGTCCTCGCAGAGAACAGCAGGTCCCCATGGCATGTGACAGGTCCCTGTGCAGAAAGACAGGTCCCCATTGGAGATGGCAGGTTCCTGCAGTGGGGTGACAGTGTGACAGGTGCCTGCCATGGGGTGGCAGGTCCCCCAGGGCAGGTGGCAGGTCCCTACAGTACAACAAGTCCCTGCGAGGGGGTGGAAAGTCCCTATAGCAGCTGACAAGTCCCCTTCCACAAGCTGAATGGGCCCCATGGTGGCTACAGGTCCCCCAGGTGAGTGGCAGGACCCAGTGGTGGGTGGCAGGTTGCTACCTTGGGGTGGCAGGTCTTCCACCACTGGCTGACAGGACCCATGGTGGGTATAGGTCCCCCTGGCGGGTGGTAGCTCCCCAGATCTTCCCCAAACCCTGGCAGTGATGGCTCGCTGCAGTTTGCAGGGATGTGGCACATCATGGCTGCTGTTTCCAACTGCACTGTGTTCCTGAGCATGAAGGACAAGATGACATCATCTGTCACCACCATCAGCTTCACACCAGAGGGACACATGGCCATGGAGACAGTCGTCCCGCTGTGAGTCCCATTGCAGTGGTACCTCCTGGGCCGGGCACTGCCCAAGCTGTGGGCTGCACAGCCCCACATGTCCTGCTGCCTGGCGTGCCGCCCTCTGGCTCCAAGCCTCATTTGCTGTTTCATTTTTCCCCTTCCAGGCCAGAAGAATGCAAAAAGATTCTGATGCTGTTCCAGCATGGTGGGCAGGCAGGGCACTACATTGGCACAGGTACGTGTGGTCAGGGTCCTGAAATGAAGGGTGGGCAGCACCTGTCCTGCTGGAGGTGGGTCGGCTCCTCTGCCTCCACCCGTGACTGCACACAGCTGCTGGCTCTGTGCAGCACCTCCCTTCTCAGACCCCGCTGGGCACATTGCAGCCACAGCCTGACTGGGCGCTCTCTGGGGTCTTTTAGAAAATGGAGAGAAGAGGGATCTGCGTGTGATGGACACAGACTACGAGCACTACGCCGTCGTGTACACCCAGAAGAAAGACAGCCAGGAGCCCAGCACCATGCTGCAGCTCTACAGTGGGTGCCCATCCCATGGGGGGGGGCAGGGCTGGGACCCCCATTGCCACCCAAGGCCGCTGCGTCAGCACCCAGCACGCCAGCACCTTCCCATGCCCAGAGTCCTTTTTGGAGCAAACAAAACATGACATTGGCGATATCCCCAGTTACCAACGACCCCATTTTGCACCGTTTTGAACTAAATCCCCACCTGCAGCATGCCACTCAAGCTGCAGACCCCCATGGCTGCTGGGGCTGTATGGGGTGCACAGCCCCCAGGGTGTGGCCACAGAGGTACCTGGTGGCCGTCCCACACCCTGTCCCCTATTGCTTTGCCCATCCCAGGGGTCCCACTGTGGGACCACCCCCAGGTGCGGTGCTGGCTGTAGGACCCCTCACTCACAGCTCCCACTTTGGTCTCCACTTGCAGCAAGGAATCAGGACGTGAGCCCACAGCTCCTGCAGAAGTTCAAGGAGCTCTTCCACTCCGTGGGCCTGACTGAGGACATGCTGGTCGTGCTGCCGCACTCGGGTAAGTGCCAGAAAGGAGGGGGCATTCATGTCCCCTCTGTGTGGGGATGCTCCGCTGGGACTCAGCACTCGCAGTGAGGGGCTCATCCCTCTTCTCACACTGAACAGATCGGTGCACCAAGACTCGCAAGTGAGCACAGGCTGAGGATGCACAGCCCCTCCAAGTGCCTGCTGACCCCACGTCCATCTGTCCATCCATCCTGCCTCCCTGCAGCTGAGGGGCTGACACAGGGCTGCGTGTCCTCAGGACCTGGCTCAGTGGCCACTCCGTGCTGCCCCTTCCCAGCCTTGCTGCTCCATCCTGGGAGCACACCTTTCCGCTTGAAATAAACAGATGCAGAAGCTGCCCCTGAGCTCAGTGCTTTTGTTGTCAGAGCTGGGGATGCTGACCGCAGCCCTGCACCAAACCCATCCCTCCAGAACCACACGGCAGTCTGGGGGCTCCTTTGCTGTGCGGTTTGCAGAGCCCACCCTGCGCGGGGAGCCCAGCTGGGCAGAATGGAAGCAGGCAGCCCTTAGGACACCCAGCTCCCTGCACACCTGGGCAAAGGGCTGCCCCATGTCTAATCAGGGTCCCCACATCCACCTGCCACCCACCGCCCCATCTGTCTGCTGGCAAAGAGCCGTGGGGGAAGTGGGGCTGTGCCCCCATCCCCTCTGTATTCCCCAACAAGTGGTGGCCGAGAAAGGGGGGTCCCTCAGCACACACCTGGGTGTGTTTGTGAGGATGCAACACGAGCCTTTGGAACCCTGTAGCCCCTAAGAGCCAGGGCAGAGGGACAGCACATCCTGGCCAGGAAGACACGCGTGTCAGCAGCACACTGGCACGCTGCGCTGCCATCCAGGCGTGGGGTTGCCGATGGGAGCGGCCTCGGGGCGGGTGCCAGTCACAGCTGTGCCGGGGCTGCCCATGGACGCTGTGCCGGGAACGACCTCCCCGCTTCTCCCGGCAGTTCTCAGCCGGGAAACAAGAAGTACTTTTGTTCTTTCACAAGAGGCTTCAAAAAAACAAGAAACTCTTCATTTTCAGCTGTGGTGCAATAGCAGTCCTGCAACCCCACCGCTCAGACCCCCTCCTCGGGGCTTGCAACACTTTCCTCTTTCCGTAAGCCTCTGTTTACCCTGGGACGGTTTCAGCTCCCACAGCAGCACCTCGCCCCACGCCAACAATAGCAGCGCTCTCCGTGCGGCGCAGCTCGCAGGCGGGGGGGCTGAGCGCAGCCCTATAAAGCCGACAGCACCCAGCGCTCCCCGTCCCGCGGTGACGCCGGAGGCTGCGCGACATGAGGATGACGCTGGCCCTGAGCCTGGCGCTGGCCCTGCTCTGCTTGCTGCGCGCGGGGGCTGCAGCCGCAGTGCCGGACAGAAGCGAGGTGACCTGCGGGACGCTGGGGAAGGGACTGTGGGCTCTGCTCACTAGGATGGAGGTGGGAGGACCTTTGGGTGGCTGGGGACAGCTGGACACCACGGCTAACGCTGGAAGCGCTGCACGCCCGGCTCAGCACAGTGATGCAGCAGGGGTTTGGGTGTCCGTATGGGATGCAGGTGATGTCCTGTCAGGTGCACCAGGCTCACAGCTCATTCCCACCGCCAGATTGCAGGGAAATGGTACGTTGTTGCTCTGGCCTCCAACACCGAGTTCTTCCTGCGTGAGAAAGGCAACATGAAGATGGCAATGGTCAGAATCTCTTTCCCAAGAGAGGACGAGCTGGAGGTCTCCTATGCTGTCCCCAAGTAAGTGCCAGGTGCTTCTCTCCCTTGGCTTTGGTCAGCGGGTGCCCATCCAGGTGCCCCTACCCAGTACACCCACAAACCTGGTGGGAGACTGAATTGGGGCACCAGCTGTCAGCAGCCGAAGGTCCCCTCTGCTGCCCAATATAAGTGCCAGGTTCTGTTCTCCCTGTCCTGCTCTGGCAGCCATCGCTGCATGAGTGGCGGCTCTCCCCTGGACACACCATCCTCTATCAGCACCTCCTGTGTTGGAGGTGTGACCCCGACTCCAAAGTTTGTGTCCTGGGGAGGGAACCTCACCCAGCAGGGCCAAAACCAGGTGGCTCTGAGCACACCTTGAGAATGTGTTCCTTGCCTTGCAGGCCAACAGGGTGCAGAAAATGGGAGACTACCTTCAAGAAGACCAGTGACAGCGGTGAAGTCTACTACTCAGGTGAGTGGGGACAGAGTTATGGGCAGAGTCAGAGGCACACCAATTGTCCCTGGGACCAGGGACATTTCCCAGCACTGGTCCCAACCACCCACTCAACACCACTCCATGCCGGGGCCATGGCCCACCAGCAGTGGCTCCTTCTGGGAAGCTGCTTGCAGGAGGACAGCCTCATACCACATGAGCCTAACTGTGGGTGAAGCAGAGTCATTTTGCAACAGGACAAAACAGCAGTGCTTTCCCCCATCCCCACCCAAGTGCTAGTCCCAAATTGGCCAGGATGCTCTGCTGCCCACGGCGGCCACCCCCAGACCCTCCTGCACTCAAGGTCCCAGTCGCTCTGCTGATCTGCGCCATGATCTGTGGGCTCTCCAGGCTTTTGGAGGAGCCTTATCAAGAGGGAAAGGCAGGAAAAGGGATGCAGTAGAAATATGGGCAGGGTGGATCAATGGATGGGCATTCACACTCTTATAGTCCTTTTGCAGCATGGGAGCTCTCAGGGGCATGTAGCAAATTTTTCACTTTGCTCCATGTCCTTTTTCAGAGGAAGCCAAGAAAACGGTGGAAGTGCTGGACACTGACTACAAGAGCTATGCAGTGATCTTTGCAACTAGAGTGAAGGATGGGAGGACTTTGCACATGATGAGGCTCTACAGTGCGTAGCCAAGCTGGGGCTGTGGGCATGAGGGGCAAGGGGAGGATGGGACATGGAGACACCTTGTGCTGCAACTGCCCACCGTTCTAGTTTGATGGATCAAGGCAGTGGAAGGGGAAGGGGAAGGAGCAGCATTTTGGGGCTGGGTCTCGGGTTTCTGCACTGTGCCAGGTATCCGTGGCCTCGGTAAGTCATTTGGTGAAACGAAGCTAAGAGCTGCAAGGAGTGGTCAGAAAGGGTGGGGGTGGGATCCTGGAGACACCGGGCTGCCCAGGGACCCTGGTGCCAGGGCGTCCATCGCCTGTCCCACCAGCCAGCAGCTAACTTCTTCCTTCAGGCAGAAGCCGTGAGGTGAGCCCCGCAGTCGCAGCGACCTTCAGGAAGCTTGCTAGGGAGCGCAGCTACACGGACGAGATGGTCACCATGCTGCCCAGACAGGGTGAGTGAGGCCAAGTGCTGTGTTCAGAGCCACCTGGCTGGCTCACGGGGAGCCTGAGTGGGCTGGCAGGGACTGGTTGGTGGTGTGGGCAGCCAGGAGGTGATGAGGGGCTTGGCACGCGGTGACTTCTGTCTCACTCGTGTTCCTGGATTGTCTGCGCCCTGCTGTGGGTGCTAAATGGGACTGGCAAGACCAAAGCCCTGCTCTCAGCCTTTCTCTTTATTTTCACAGACGAATGCAGCGTTGATGAAGTGTAGGTAAGTTGCTGCAGTGCAGTGCAGTATTTGCAGTGTATCCTCACCTGAAAATTTCCCCCTTGGTACCCGAACACGGGGCCACCATGAGTTCCTCAAATTACTCTGGGGGCTGAGTTGTTTGAAGATGTGCTGGAGCACACATCCGGGTAGGATGGATTCTTCCCTGCAGTGGGGAGCACAGGAATGCAGTGGAGGTACAGCTGCCTGATGGTGGGCAGCAACACCTGAATCAAAACCTGCTCAGTGGAGAAATGGCTGCTGAGTTCATCCAATGGCAAGGGCCAGGACTGGATCTTGCCGAAGGGACTGCAATGAAATGAACCAGTAAAGCTGGCAAATTGGGGTTGGTGTCTCACCATGCAAAACATGCTGGCTGTCAGCCCACTGGGCAGCCCTGGCATTCGTTTCCCCCCCACAGCAGTGCACATTTAGTTGTAAGGGGAGACCAGAAACTCATCCCTGGCATGGCTGAAGCACAGAGAGCAGAGGAAGGCCCTGCACGCTCCACTGGCCTCCCACCTCCAATACTCAGCACACCTCTCCTGGCTGTTCTCCACAGGATGGCTGATGAATGCTTCTTCCTAAAAGAACAAGACTAATGTGCCAAAGCTCCAGGCTGCTGCTCTGCCCCCCATCATGGCTCTGAGGCATCTCCCGCTTCACCAGCACACGGTCCCTCCTTTTTGCCCAAATAAACAGAAACTTTCCCGACAGCCTGGTGTAACCGTCTGGGCAGAATCTGCGGGGTCTGGGCAGAATCTGCGGGGTCTGGGCAGGTGCTGCCGCCTGCTGTCCTCCTGGGGTTTGCGGACGGAAGGAAAACAACCGGGCTGGTCCTGCAGTGAGCTCACCCCGGCGGATCTGCCTCCCTGCTGCTCTTTGCTGGCAAGGACATTGGCACGGTCCGTCCCAGCGCTGAGCTCATCGGGATTTTCCCAGCTGCTCCTTCCCCATCACAGGCACTGGGAAAATATGCTTGAGAAATTTCCCCTCCCGGTCTTGGCACTGAGTGTAGTGGGAGCTGGACACGTCCCGACAGTGGTTGGGCAGGAGAACCCACTGGGACTTCCAGAGCCAGCATCTCTTCCGCCTTCCTTGGGAAGAAGCCCAGTGCTTCCAGCAGGAATTTGTCCTGCTGCTCAACCTGGACAGCTCAGGAACAGCTCAGAACCTGCAGTGCTCCCGAGAATGCTGGGCCCACACGTGGCTTCGCCTCGAGGCTTGTTTTCGGTACGCTTGTTGATGTGGGTCACAACATCCTGCTGCCAGTAACGCCCTCTTCTAAGAGCTCTCTATGACAGGGAGTCCCAGTGCCTCCACACTGTGTTCCATCCAGATATTTCCTTCTGCCATGTGTGGGCATCACCCAGCCCGGCGGCAGTGAAATTGTTCCTCCCTACCACTTGCATTTCCCATTCCTGTTGCCCATCTGCTTTTTCCCCATGCCCGACTGTCTGCCCAGACCAATTCTGCACAGCAGTTTCTGCTTCGCCATCATTTCTGACCCATTTCTGCGTGCAGCACCCCTTCCTGCAGAGAGGGGAACGGTCCTTACTGCAGGCTTCACCATCCACACTGAGCTGTAGCTGGCGTTCACCCAAAACCAAGGGACCTTTCACCACCATGTTCTTGGTAGCCAAGTGCCATCCTGGGAGTCCAGCGCAGGGTGCTGTGGGTCTGGGTGCCGGGGTGCTGGGTGCCAGGGCACAGCTCCTGCCCTGCCTGGCTGTTGTGCCATGTTGCACTGCACGTCTCCTTGCAGACTGTGCCCTCAGATAGTAGACAGAGGGCAAAGAGGAGCAAGTGGGACAAGAAGAAAGGAGATGATATCTGTAATACTTGAACCTCCTAGCAAGCCTGTCCGGATATCATGGTATAGTCAGTGATTTCCAAGGGACTTTCACCCTGAATTTGTGCAAAAGGTTTCACAGAATCAATCACACAATGGCCAGGGTTGGAAGGGACCTCAAGGATCATGAATCTCCAACCCCCTGCCACCAACCTCCACATTTCACAGCAGCCCAGGCTGCCCAGGGCCCCATCCAACCTGGCCTTGAACACCTCCAGGGATGGACGGGGCATCACAGCCTCTCTGGGCAGCTGTTCCAGCACCTCACCACTCTCTCTGTCAAGAACTTCCCCCTGACATCCAACCTCAGTCTTCCCTCCCTCAACTTAAAACCATTTCCCCTTGTCCTGCTGTTATTTCCCCTTTCCAAGAGTTGATTCCTCTCCTGTTTGCAGGCTCCCTTTAGGTACTGCAGGCTGCACTGAGGTCACCCCGCAGCTTCTCTTTTCCAGGCTGAACAAGCCCAGCTCCCTCAGCCTGTCTTCATAGGGGAGGTGCTGCAGCCCCCTGCTCATCTTTGGGGCTCCTCTGGACCCTCTCCAACAGCTCCCTGTCTTTCTTGTACTGGGGGCTCCAGACCTGGAGGCAGTGCTGCAGATGGGGCCTCACAAGAGCAGAGTAGAGGGGGGCGATCACCTCCCTGCCCTGCTGGCCACCCCTCTGCTGATGGAGCCCAGGATCCCGTTTGCTTTCTGAGCTGCAAGAGCTCACTGCTGGCTCACATCCAGTTTTTCACCCACCAGGACCCCCAGGTCCTTCTCTGCAGGGCTGCTCTCAAGGAATCCTCCCAGTCTGTACAGATGCCCGGAATTCCTCTGGCCCTCTACACTTTGCTGTCTTGAACCTCATTAGATTCACCCAGGCCCACCTTTCAAGTCTGCTGAGGTCAGTTTCCTGGGGCCTTGGCAGCATCCTGCAGAGAGGAGCAGATGGGTGCAGCTGAGCACAACCAGGCACCTAGCTGGTAGGGACAGCTTGCAGGGGAGAGAGCAGAGTGGTGATGGGGCAAGGGAGGTCCTTAGCAGCTGGGAGGTGCTGAACTTTTTATTTATTAACTCTTGGAGACTTCGCAGTCAAGGGCTGCAGTGCTTGCCTGTGATACGAGTGATCTTCACACCCTGGAAAACTGATTGCGCTTTTTTCTCTCTCAAGTGAGGATCTTCTTCCCCATCAGTGGCAAAGTGTCCTCTGCAAGCTTTAAAACCCTTCCAAGATTACGAGATAATGTCCAACATTCCTATCTTGTTGACTCCTCCACAGATTCTGTTTTTGAGGTGTGACTTTCCAGGCAAAAGTTGGATTTTGCCTGCCTTGTGACATAGTTCGTCCGTGCACCAACCATTTCTCCCATTAGTTACATCTCTTGCAAGCACCTGCCTGCTCTGCAAAGTGCGCTGACTTCTATGTTGTCACTTTACCGCTGACAACCTCTTCAAAATCCAGCACAACATTTGCTTCCTGTAGCTTTCTGATGCAAATTAGAGCTACCAAGGATGAGCCAGAGCAGCAGATGACTTGGTACAGTGAGATGTTTGAGTTTCATACTTAGTTTATTTGGACTGGAAATGCCATCTCCTCTGTTTCACCGCTGTCTTGCTCCTCTGTTTTGGCAGGACAGAGCCTCTCAAGTGTTTGTAGAAGGGATCTTCCTGGCTAACAGGAGGGAAGGGATCTAACAAAGCTTATTCTCAGCTAAGGCAGTTGCAGTGGTTTTTTTTTCGCTTTCCCATCTTTTCCTTGAATATTCAACCTGAATCTGACCAGCTCCTGGTCAAACAGATTCCAGTGTTCAATTCCTGGTCCTGGAACATTTGAAGAAGAGGCTGTAAGTGCAGATGCAAAGAAAGCGGCCAAATTATGGTGCCTTCATTGCTTGCCTTCTTTTACTGCTGATAAATTTACCAGAGCTCAATGCACTGCTTTCACATGGATGTAACTTCCACAAATTTAAGAGCATCTATCTCATTTTTGATCAGCTTCTTTAAACTGATTCAGTCATCCTTTATAACGCTGTTTAGGGTTTGTATTTTCTAATATCAATTTAAGCACTCTGAGTAAAGCTCTAAGCTGGACTTTCTAAACAATCTCTGTGCCATATGTGGTATTTAATCCTCCTGACTTTTTTTTTCTTTTCCATTTAAAAATAGAATGCAACTGTGTTGGAGCATCTCTGTCTCTAAGCACGGCACTGGCTGTCATGAGAACAGCCTTTTGATTTCTGCCCCACGAACCAAGTCCTGCCAGAGGCTCCTAGCCTGGATGTTCTCAGCCATCCCACGTGTGGGGCCTAAAACCTCTGCGCCATGCCTCATGGGTGCACATCCAACCACCCAGAGCAACCGTGTGTTAGAAATTCGTGGGTGCCCCCCTGGGCATCCCTGCCTGCAGCGGGTGGTACGGTCACTGCAGCAGGAGCTGGATCTCGCCATCCATCTTGGATCACGTGGGGTGAGACCATGGGCTTCCCCAGGTGCAGCAGAACGTGGGACCTGGCTCGTGTCAGCCCACCTGAGCCATCCCTCAGCCCATCTGTTGGGATCTGTTCCCCGTGGGGACCTGTGCCAGTGGGCAATAGCTCTGAGCACAGGCACAATCCACCTCAACTCTCCTGGGTCAGGAGTGAGTTACACTTAAATTGCCAATTACTGCCTGTTGACTCCTCTGTGCTGGGTCTGAGCCCCACAGAGGAATAAACAGTTTTTGTTCCCAAGTTTGTGAAGGGGCAAATATAGCTCCTGTCTCCAGGCGCTGCAGTGACACAACAAGCCCCTTGGAGCCTTTTCAGAAGTTGAGGCTGCAGAAGTTCAGAAACTTTAATGACATCAACTGAGACCTGACTGTTCCTGGGGCAGCAAGGTGTCCTTTGGGCCATAACTTCATGAGACACGGGCACTGGGGACACAACAGGCTTTGGGAATTGCTGCTTCCTCCAGAGGTTCTGTTGAAGGCATGTGGCTATTTTCAGCTTGGATCACAACAGGATGTGGTTTAATGCTTTGGCTCTATGACTGGCTGACCCAACGCAGCCAGTGGGACATGTCTGGTGGCCTGAAAGCACGAAACAACACGGCTGGGGACTTCCCAAGCTGTCAGCACCAGCATCCCCTGACATGCGTGAAGATGTGTCAGTCCTACAGTGCCCAGTAGCAGTGACAACGTGCCTCTTGGGCACAGCAAAGCTCTGGGTTGTGCTGGCAGACAGGGCTGCCATTCAGAGAGGTGTCAGTAGCCCACAGAAACAGAAAAGAACGAACCCCTGATGTTCAGCCAAGGCTGCTGCAAATTCTTGCCCCTGGGGAGGTTAACCCCATGCCACAAGGCTGTACAGCCAGTGGGCAACAAGCTGTGCTGCAGGCAGCAGGCAACCAGCGCAGCCTGGTGTGGGCTAACGAAGGGCAGCTCAAGGGCAGCACACTTGTGGAAGTGCCACTGCAGGGAAGGGCCCACGCTGGGGCTGCACAGGGCAGGAAATGCCCTGGCTAACACAGCAAGGATGGGGGAGGGATGAAGAGGGGGGCATTAAGCTGGCCAGGGCCTGCAGTACAGCATGTCTGATGAGAGGCTGAGAGCTGGGCTGGGTTGGCCCTCAGAAGAGAAGGAATCTCTGACTGCTATCTCCAGCTGCCCGAAGGCAGCACAAGGAAAAGGTGCAGGCAGGCCCTGCCTGGGGTGCAGCGCGGCGAGGCGAAGGGCACAGACACAAGCTGTAACACGGGAAATCTCTGTCAGACAACGGTT